GTGTGGTTTGGTTACAACACAGTCATTGAAGCTACTGCGCCAACCTTATATAGGTACACACCTAATTATGATATATTCTAGCTTTCAGAGCTAAATTTTAGGGAGTTAAAGCTAAGTTAGAAAAATACATCAAATACAGATTAAAAAAAAAAATCCCTCAGAACAAAAAATTTGTCTTAGGTACATTACCTGTGGTTTGTGGTTAATTGAACTGTTGCTTCTTTTCTAGCCTATCACATGGTTGGTATTTTCCCTTGGAATTTATCAAAATATTTCCCAGGGGTTATATTCTGTATCTTGCAGGTTATGTGTCAAGTTCTTTTGGATACATCCTTGCTACCAGGGCAAGAAGAAGGATCTGGGAAGCAGTGATTCGCCCATCAGTCTGCCATATAGATTTATACCTTCTATCAGTTACCAGTTAAAAATAAGCCAAGACTCCATGGGCTTCATGACTATTTCATTAGCCCTGGAAGCTGCCTCGAAAATGCTTCCATTGATTACAACAGAAACTGTAAAAGATACTTCAACTGACTGAATGAGAAACAATTCATGAGGGGAGATTACAGGATTTTGAAGGCATTTTAGAAATCAAATCCAACCCTATCATTTTACACATAAAGAAATAAGAGGCCTAGAAAGTAGACTGGCCCCCAAATCAAATCACTACACAGTAGCAGAGCTGGTATTTGAATCCAACCCCTTCCTACTACATAATACCTGCCTCCATTACTAGAAAAATTTCGAGAAATCCTACACTAACAGTAACGATAAAAACAACAGTAATAGCTAACACTTAAACAGCGCTAATTTTAATGATGGGCACTGGGTAAAGGTTTTAAAATTACCTCAGTTGATCCTCACAGCAACCCCATGAGGTACATGCTATTATTCCCATTTACAGATAAGGAAACTGAGGCCAAACAGGCCTAAAGTGACTTGCCCAGGGTCACACAGTTATTAAAAGTCTGAGGTCAGATTTTAACTCAGCCTTCCGGACTCCAGGCCTGATGCTCTATTCACTGAGCCACCTAGATGCCCCCAAACAAGTCGGTCACTTCATTTTTGCATAGTAAAAGGGCAGTACATTATCTTAGACCAAAATTGTATTGCCTCACCCCTCAACTTCCCCAAGCTGCAAAATAAGAAAAGCTCTACTGTTGTTGAAGATTTGGCAAAAATTAGAAGACTGAAATTTGTAGTTTTGGAATAAACATTTTGATATTTTCCTTAGCAATTTCACACTGCTGCAGGTTCTAGGTTCAGACAAAGACACGGAACAAGAGCAGCAATGTATGCTGCTACTACATGCAATGTTAATTTGGTCCCTGAACACCATCCTCACAAGGGTTATGTTAAGGAAAAAAAAATGCATCACAGTTTACGTATTTATTGAAATCAAACCAATAGGGACTCTTTCAGGAAGACTTTTCAGGATGTTCTGACATTTCAACTGGGTGGGATTTCTATCGTGCAGACTTTGTTTTATGTACTATAATAAAAAAATGCCTCTAATTTTTCAAGTGCTCTCCTCAAATGAGGGCTCATTTAACTGCTATCAACTTGCCACTCTAATCGCAAAACACTGCTTGACTGTTACAGTCAGTGTTAAGATTAGAACTTAAGTCACACAACCATGAAAGAAAACGACTATTCAATTCTCTTTCGAGCTAAGTGCATGCTGTAGCGGACAGCTGCTCTCGGTCACCCTTCAGGAGATCATCTCACTCCAAAGTGACCGTTTTAACCGCTTCCACCCACAGCAGGCCGAGTCAGGCGTGGAAAGCACGGGCCAGGGACACATGCGAGGGAGCAGGCTGGCGGCTGCTCTAGCTCATTCTCTCACCTGTTGATGAAACCATAGCCGTTTCTTACATTGAACCATTTTACTGTTCCCAAAACCTTCGTTGCTGGGAGAAAAAAAGAAGGAATCCAAGGTTACAAAAAAAATTTCCGGAACCCCGCTGGACGCCACCCCCACTCGGGCCCACCACCCTCCCCGTAGGCTTCGGGGGGGGGCGGTGCCCGAGGGGCAAGGCGACGGCCGCGGGGACGGAGGCACCCGGGCAGCCGCCGGGAAGGCCGCAGGATCCATGGGAGCACGTGAGGGGAAGGCGCGCGGCGGCCCCCGCCCGGCCTTCGGAGGCAGGCGGCGGGAGGGGCGGGCACCGCGCCCTCAGTCTACACGCGGAAGGGAAGGAGTGCGTGCAGGAAGGGGAGGGGACCTACACAACGGCGCTCGCACGCTCGCCCGTGGGGCGCGTGGCCGCCCGGGAAGGCCCGAGGCCGGGAAACCGTTACACACGCGGCGGGCAGCGCGCGAGGGGAGGGAGGCAGGGGGGCGGCGGGTGGGCGCGCGGCGGCGGCGGCGCGCCGGGTCCATAGGGGGCGCGGGAGGAGGCGCGCGGGCCCGTCGCCCTGGGCACGAGGACACTCGGCCGGCGCGCGCAGGGGGGAGGGAAGGGAAGGGGAGGAGGAGATGAGGGCGGCGGCAGCGCGCGGAATCCATGCCGCGCGCCGCACCCCCCTCGGCTAACGGTCCCCCCCACCGCCCCCCGGGCTTGGCCCGGCCCAGGCCCTGCCCCTCACCGATGACCTTCTTGTCCCCGCCGGCGGGCGCCGCCGATGTGAGGCCGCCGGGACCGCCGCTCCCTCCGCCGCTGCCGGTGATGCCGGGCTTGGTATCGGCGGTGCTGAGGGCGGGGGCGGCGGGGGGGGCGGCGGGCGGCTGCTGGGTCTCGGCCTCGCTGCTCATTGTTGCGGTGATGGTGACTAGGGCCTGCTGCGGCAGCGGCGGCTCCTCCCGGGGTGTGATGGTGACTAGGCCGGCGGCGGCGGTGGGGCTGCTCTCAGGGCTCTCTGGGGTCCGCTCTCCGCTCCCGCTACCGATCGAACTAGCGAGAATGGCGGGACGGGCGGGATAAGCCCTCCGAGCGACCCGCCTTACGCTCCGTTCATTGGCTCAAAATGCCATCAATCCGCCGCCTGACCAGAAGTGCTAGCTCTCATTGGCTGGGGGCGCATTACTCCCCTGATCTCATTGGCTCTTGAAAGAGTAATTTTGCCGACTTACTAGCAATTCCAGCCTCCGCCGCCGCCACCGAGACCGGAACTAGAACTAAAGTGAAGCCACTGCTGAACCATAGAGTACCCGAGAGGGCGGGCAGAGGGAACATAAGTTGGAGCGCGCTGCCGTGTGACCCTAGCCCCGGTCCCGATAGAGCTCGGGCGAGGTTGGTTGACTGGGACGGGATAGAGTGCGCGGGTTCAAGTAGGGCAAAGAGAGGCTTGCTCAAGGTTCACACCCCACCCTCCCCGGAAGTGTGCGTATGGGGGGGAGTGAAATTGACTAAATGACACCTTGGCCGTCTCCGCCTCCTAGGTCCACATGGCTCCACACCGGCTGCGGGCACCCCGGGGGGCCCCCAGTGTGGGTCTGATTTTTTTCTATTTCAGGTATTTATCTTGTGCTACGAACGAGGGGTCGTGGTAGACATTGAAACCTTCCCTATCCAGTGTCAGGCAGCAATTTTCCTTTAATTATATTATGAAATACTCAAATATAGATAGGGGTCGACGTTGTCGGAGAGAAAAACCTACAACGAACTTAATTTTTGAAAATTGCCAAAATGAAGGGGAAGGTGATTGTCTTCTTCACGGCTGTCACGTGGAGGAACGGGATTTGTTCTGCCTAGCCTAGTAGGGCAGGAGGGCGGAACGTGCAGTGGCCGATTTAAGGGGGCATTTGCCTAATAATCAATGGTCCAGCAGATGAAAGGGCTGCCCCTTGTGGTCGTGGGCTCAGCCATACTGGAGCTCAAGTATGTTGTAGATAGCATAGTGGACCTTCTCTTTCCGGTGCTTGCAGAAAGACCTCAACCCTAATTGTCATTGGCCACAAAACTGGTGAATAAGGGGGGTGTGGCAGGGCAGTGCCATTTTTGTTCATGCACAAGGTGTGTCCATAGAGGAAGAATTTTGTGTGGTTCAAAAACTGGTCCCCAAGGCAATTCTTAGAGCTCCAAACTGGTTTTGAACAAGGGAAGCCTTGTTGGACTAAGAGCACATCACCAAAGTAATTGCTTTGAAGGCCAATTTATTTGCAAATGGCCTACTGGCTTAAATCTAGTTCCTATTCCTTGGAAATAGGAGCCCGAAGACTGACCATGCTTAGCCACTGCAGGTGATGGAATGGATAGAAAGTAAGCAGGTTCCTTGCTCCAGTGAAGTCTGAAAGGACAGGTGTAAAGTGGGGTGGTGAAGGCCTTTACCCAAGCTCTGTCACTCAGCCACTGGCAGTTTGATAAGTTACTGTACCCCAAGTAAAGTAGGAGCCTCCCTAATGCATAAGTTCTGACCTAGTTCTTTTATTGCAGACTGATGCTGCCAAGGCCTTCCAAAGTATTGTAACCAGTTTTCACTCTATCACCTGCAGCTTCTTTACTCAGACCTGGCCCTTTCCCTTGGTGGTCCTAAAGAGAATTATCTCTTTTCCCTGGAGGACAACTGCAGATTTGACACAACTTCTTAAAACCCTAAGCCCGCTACCTTCCTTTGGAATTCATCCCTCTCTTGAATCCTCTGTTATTCTCATAGAGCCTTATCTAAAAGATGAAACAGGAGAAAAGCAGTAGCAATGGAAGAAAACTAAAAGCCTTCTACAAGGAACACACATTTTTACCAGCTGTATTCTTCCTCAGTTCAGCTATGCTCCATAGCTACATGCAGCATTGCCTAGGAAAAAGAGACAGAGACGCTGGCCAGGAGGTGAAACCAGTTATCCCAGCAGGTCCAGCTTAGCCTGAGTGAATAGACTGAGGCTCCCCTTAGATATAGGAAAAAAAAAAAGACAACCAAAACACAAACTTTATTTACAGTTGAAAACTTAAAAATAAAAAGCTTGGGGTCCTGAATCCATGACAGGTCCTATCTCTTGATCACAAAGGCAGGCAGTAACCAAGGAAGCAAGGTGGGAGGCCAACCCATCTTCTCAGAAGCATCACCCAGGGCAAAAGGAAGCCTAAAACAAGAGAAACAAGGACTTCTGTGGGGGCCGGTGGAAGGAAACAACTCTGAACAGGTAGGATGAACCTGGGCAGCACTGAGGTTTGTGCCCATGTGAAGTAGTATAACAGAATATTGACCTTGGGAGTCAGAAGAACAAGACTCAATCCTGGCCCTGCTGCTAAGTTACGATGAGCCCCCTGGCCAAATCAAAATTCCCTAAATTTAGTTTCTTCATATGTAAAATGGGGACACCACTATTTGCAGTGGGTGACCAAATAGGATAATGCATGTTGCTGGAGTCCTTTTTTAAGAGTTCCCGGACTGTTATTAACAGCTATTATCTGGCACCTCTCAATGGCCTGCCTGAGTAGGGGCAATAAATAATAGAAAGTAGGGGAGTATTCCTGCCAGAGGGAAATCCTAGAGTTAGGCAGAGCTGAATTAGAGTAAAGCTTGGCAGAGCTTAGGATAAGAACTGAAGCAAACTTTAGCAAAAAGCCCTAGGACTGGAGTCAAGGGTTAGATCCTGTGGGAGGGGCAGGAAAAGAGAAAGGAATGGCCCCACCCTTCCCTTCCCTTCCACCTGGGGGTGGCCATGCACCCTGATATTGCTCAATCAAGGCAGATGGCCTGAATCAGTTCCTTCTCACCTCCTCACAACTTCTAGCGCTTTGGAATAACTTTGGAGTTTCAGGTTTGAATTCTGGGCCATAAAGTGGCCCTTTAGCCTTTGTAAAATGCACAACAAACATCTCTTGCCCCACCGTAATGGCTATTGACACTGCAGGCAGTATCTTGGGTGGGGCTGGCTGGATCTGGGGCACAGGCTAGGCCTGACTGCGTCAGGATCCAAATCCCTGTGCTTGCTTCAGAATTTTGAAAATATTTGTTGACTTTGAACTGGATAATGCCTGAAGTAAGGTCAGGCTAAGCCCTCTTGTATCCTATCCCACCCAGCAGGCCTGGCCTGAAGACAAAATATCCTCTGGGAGTATACCCTTGACTCAGGGTTTCAAATACACCAGGACTTACTATGTGGCAGTATAGTTTAATGTAAAGAATATTCTGCTCCACGAGTCGGGAGACCTAGCTTCAAATCTTGTCCCCCATTAATGGCTTTAGAAAAGTCATTGCCTATTTCTGGGCTTCAATTTACTCATTTGCACAACAAAGGATAGGACCTTTCTTCCTGTTCTTAACATTCTAAAATTCTACATGGCACAAACAAGTATTTGTTGAACAAATGCCCAACCTCCAATGTGCCCTGGATGGATATTTTCACATGAAACCCCCCACCACCCCAGGCCCTATATCCACCTTTACATTCTCCCTAAGAAGTAGGAGGCAGGTGCAGAAAAGTAAATAAATGGAAGGGAATCTGCCTAGACGGGCAGCACTGGGGAATGCTACCACATCATCCCGAAGGCTGTTTCTCTTCTTGTTCTTCCAGTCCCTCAAAACAAGGTACTGCAGGCATTAGTTCTGTTCTAGGAGCAACTCAGGATGCCAGCTGAAAGCAGCCAGAGTTCCATGCCTCTGGCAAGCTTTTTCATTCTTGGAAAAATAAGGGACTCCTTCCCTCACTAAACTGCCCTGTGACAGACCCAAGGGCTCAGACCTGCTAAGTCTTGCAGGTGTGGCCTTTACAATGACCCTGAAATAGGAGATGAGCCTCTAACTTTAAGCGCTGTCAAAGGCCCAAGTGTGGAACAATTAGGCTATGATAGACATCTAGGAGCTGGAGCAAAAGTGTTTCTGAGAGACCATCTATTCCCAGCCCTTGCTTTTGACAAAGGAAGAAGCTGAGTGCTATAGAGGGGAAGGGACTTGCTTTGCAGAAGTCTTTACCAAGTGGAAACACCACTGGACTGAGGTTCCAAACTCACTTTAACACTTACTAGTTCTTCGATCATGGGTCAGTCATTTAACCTCACTCAGAACTTCAGTTTCTTTATCTGTAAAATGGGCCAAATATTTGTAAAACTTAGTAGGGCTACTGTGACACTCAAATATGATAATGTATGTGAAAGTACATATGTCAGTGTCAGCCATTATATTGCCCAAGGTCTCCCTGTCCCTTCATGACCCAACTGAGGTCAGTAAATAAGCATTTATTAAGTGCCTGTGCTTAGTAAGCACTGTGCTAGGCTCTAGGGATACAAAGAGAGGTAAAAGACAGTCCTCTGCCCTCAAATAGCTCACAATGGGGGAGACAAGCAGCAAACAAATTATATACAAACAAGCTAGATACAAGAATAAATGGGAAATGAGATGGCATTCCTGAAGAAGTTGAGATTTTAGCAGGAGCTCAGAAGAAGCCAGGAAGGCAGTAGGTAGACATGAGGAGGGAGAGCATTCCAGGTAGAGAAAATGCCCAGAGCTAAGAGATGGAGCATCCTGTTTGAGGAACAGCCAGGAGGCCAGTGTCACTGCTCTGAAGAATACATGTTGGGGTGTGTAAGATATCAGAAGACTGGAAAAATGCAGGGAGGGCTAGGTTAGGAAGGACTTTGAATACCAGAGGATTTGATCTTGGAGATGATAGGCAGTCACTGGAGTTTTATGGAGTATGAACGTGATATGATCACACCTAAGCTTTAGGAAAATCACATTAGTTAGTGGCTGAATGGAGGACAATTCATCGATTGAGGTAGTCAGACCCTCCAGCAGCTGCTGCAGTAGTTCCTGTGAGTTGATGAAGGCCTGCACTAAAAGGGGTAGCAGTGTCAGAGGACAGAAAAGAGGCATATTCAAAGAGAGGCTGCAAAGGTGAAATCCAAAAGCCTTAGAAACAGCTTGGATATGGCAGGGGAGGAGGGCTGTGAGAGATGGTGAGGAGGCCAGGACAACCCCTAGGTTGGAAATCTGAGGGACTGAGACGATGGTGGTGCCCTTGTAGTAACAAGTTAGCTGGGAAGGGAGGAGGGTTTAGAGGCCGCATGTGGTTCTCTAGGTCCTCAAGCACAGCCCTCTGACTGAATCCAAGCTTCACAGAACAAATCCCCTTAATAAGAGGATTTGTTCTGTAAAATTGGTCTCAGTCAAAAGGCCGAACCTAAGGACCTAAAAGGCCACATGTAGCCTCAAGGCTGCAGATTCCCCACCCCTGGTTTAGGGGAAAAGAAAATAAATTCTTTCTTGGTCTTGTTGAATTTAAGACATCTACTGGACATACAATTCCAAGTTGTCTGAAGGGTAGTTAAAAATTCAAGATAGAAAGCCAGCAGAGAGGTTAGCAGCTAGATAAGAAGACTGGAGAATATTGAGATAATTAAAGGGGCATGATCCCCTTTGGAGCCTTCCCTGATATCTCCCCAATTCCCAGACACACGAACACACAAATGATCTCTCCCTTCTCACATTTCTCCCACTCTCCCTGGACACCTATCTCTTTCCCTTCTGTGCCATCACCGTTTGTGTATTTGTCTTTCTCATCCTGACCTCCATTCAATGATCAGGGCTTTGAGAGGAAGGCATCAATCTATCTCCAGCCCTGAGCACAAGACCCTGCAGAGAGCAGTTAGTCAATTAGCATTTATTAAGCATCTACAGGCACTGTGTTAAGAGCCGAGGATACAAAGAAAGGCAAAAGACAGTCCGTCTTTAAGCAGGTCACGATCTAATGGAGAGGACAACGTACAACAAGGTAAACACAGGATAAACAGAAATAATCACCTGAGGGAAGGCACTAGAATGAAGAAGCGTCAGGAAAGTCTTCCTGTAGAAGATGGGATTTTAACTGAGACTTGAAGGAAGCCTGGAGGTGGAGATGAGGAGAGAGAGCATTCCAGGCCTGGGAACAACCCGTGAAAATATCAGGAGTCAGGGAATGGAAAGTCTTGTTTGAGAAACAGCCAGAGGGCTGGTGTCACGGGATCCAAGATTACAAGTAGGAGGTGAGGGAGAGAGGAAAGTGTAAGAAGGGTGGAAAGGCAGCTGGGGGTCAAGTAATCAAGTGCTTTAAAAGCCAGATCCCAGAAGCAACAGGGAGCCAAAGAAGCTAACATGGTCAGACCTGTGCTGTAGGAATATCAATTGGACAAGTGAGTTTAAGATGGAATGAAGAAGTGGGGAGACTGGAGGTAGGGAAACCCATCAGCAGGTACTGCAAGAGTCCAGGTGAGAGGGGATAGGGGCTTGCCCCAGGGGCAAGTGTCCAAGGAGAGAAGAGGGCATATATGAGAGCTGTTAGAAAAGTGTAAACCACAGGCCCTGAGGACTCATTCATTGCATGGGGGGGTGAAAGGGAATAAGGAGTCATGGGTGACACCTCAGCTGCAAGCCAGGATGACTGGGAAGATTTGCCATACCCTTGATATCCGAGAGAAGGTAGGGGGAAGAGGAAGGTTTTGGGGGAGAAAGAGAGCAGTTCAGTTTTGGACATGTTGAGTTTAGGATGTCTAAAGAACATCCAGTTTGAGATGCCTAAAAGGCAGCTCAAGATATGAGACTAGAAGCTAGAGAGAGGTTAGAGAAGGATAAGGAGATTTGAGAATCATCAACATAGAGAGGATAATTACATCCTGGGGAGCTGCTGAGATCACCACATGAAATAGCACTGAGGAAGAGACGAGGGCCCAGGACAGAGCCCTGGGAGACAAGTAAGAGTGACTGGGAGTGACCTGGACGAAGAGCCAGCAAAGAAGACAGAGAAGCAGTCCGACAGGTAGGAGGAGAACCAGGAAAGAGCAAGGTCATGAAAACCTAAAGAAAAGAAAGTATCCACAAGAAGAGGGTGCTGGACAGTGTCAAAGGCTGCAGAGGAGTCAGAGAAAATGGATCTATAGCAGGTACTTGTTAGACTGAAGAGTTCCACCCTCTTCCTGACACATTCATTCTACGGCATTAGAAGGACACCAGAGGTCCTACAAGACCGAACCAAGGTTACCTAGTCCAAAGCTCTGCCTGAAATGTGAAGCCCTATTATAGTATCATCAGGTAGGCAGTGGCCATCCATCCTTTTGAGCCCAAGAACCTTCTCCCTACCTATTTCAGAGCTGTATATGATCTTTGGCTTGACTTTCCATCTGATTTCCTAGGGATATCAAATTGAGAATAGGAGGAGTCCTACAGATCACCTGCTCTACTCCCTACTCTCCAGTCCAGAGAAGGGAAAGAACCTACCAAGGTCAAATTGGGAGCAAGCAGCAGTGATACATCCAGGCCAAAACTAGGTCCTTCCAGAATGGATCAATCTCCTCCTAGAATTTGCTTCCACAGGCTAAAACTCAACGATCCTGTTTATCTTACCCTTAGTCCTCAGGTCTCTATTCTAACCTGGGCTAAATAAATAAATAAAAACCTGTGTCCCCAGCAGTCAAGCATCGATAGAGCTTCTGTCTCTGATTAGCCATAGCAACTTAAGGGACAAGACTTTCTTATGGATACTGCTTAATTCCCTGTTGGGCAGAAAAGTGTGCCTGAGGAGAGGGAGAGAAAATCAGAGTAAAGCCCCACTAAGGGACATCTCAAAGATCCTGGGCTAGAAAGGCAAGAATATGCCCCAGCTCTACCATGGGCACACTGGGAATCTGCCCATCCAGCTCATCTGCTCCACTAGGTGCTCTGAATCTACCTTGTGACTTCCTCCCTGAGCACCATGGTACATGCTGGTTCACTTGCCAGGAATGCCATTCCCTTCTGCTGTGAATCTAGCTGAATTCTTCCACCTCTTCAATACCCAGCTCCAACTCCCCCATCACCAGAAAGCGTTCATTCCCTCTGGCCCCAGCTTGGAGTCATGTCCCACTTCTGCAAACTCCCACAATCCTGTCTCTGCCAAACCTCTGTCATTCAGCATCTAAGGCCTGGTACCATGAGTTGATGGCTGGGGGGGTGGGGGTGGAGACAGGATGGAATGGGGATTCCAGTGGTGAGGGAACACCCGGACCTATGATTTCACCAATGTAGCAGGAAAGCCTCTGTGGAGAAATGCTCTGAGAGATTGAGGGACCTGCCCAGCATCAGAGAGCAAGAATGGATCCAGTCAGAACTTGGAACTCAGGTCTTGACTCCAGGGCAGGCCCACCTGCTCTCACCTACACTGTACATCTTTTTACCCTAATTACTTGGGAAACTTCTTGAGGGTCAAGCTTTGATGCTTGCATTTCTACGTGTTCCTTGGCAAGGCCAAGCAGGCAGTCAATACAGAATTTTGGATTAGAATAGCTGAATAAACCCCATAAGAATTGGGAGGAAAGCTTGGTTCTTATTGTAAGGCTGTTCTCAATAAATAAGCATTAATTAAGCACCTACTATATGCCAGACTCTGTGCTAGGTTCTGGGAAGTATAATGACAAAAATTAAAATAGTCCCTGCCCTCGGGGGCTTACATTCTTTCAAAGGAAATTATATGTATCTAAGTAAATTCCAAGCATACTTATATCTGGAGGAGCAGGGCCCATAATATTCCCTATGCAGGGTTAGAGCAATATAATGAAAACAGCAGTAAGCTGAAAATTAACTTACAGACAATACAAAAGCAGTCAAAATAGCACAGGCTACTACATAAATTAAATAAAGCCATAATAAAATTCATGTGAAAAAACAGAAGAGCAAGACTAGGAAAAGAACTACAGAAAAGAAGTAACCACCAACTTTCAGTATGTATTGTAAAACAGTAATTATAAAAACTAGCACAGGATATAAAAACCTGCCAAAGGAACCGACAGAAGAACTGCAACACAGAGCTGAATGTATGACTGAATGTCAATGGTTCTACTTACAAATGTCTGATAAATACATCAATGGCAAAAACCTCGGGACATTATCATCCAATGAATTATGTTTGAAAACCTGTCACGTACACAATGAAAAAGGGGCTCAGAGTCCTACCCAAAACCATACACTACAATAAACTGTGGATAAGTCAATCAGTCAATAAGCATTTATTAAGTGCTTATTGTATGGAGGCACTGTATTAATTACTGGGGATGCACAAAGAGGCAAAAACACGGTCCCTGCCCCCAAGGTCACATTCTCACTGCTCACATATAAACAACTATGCACACATACGATGTAAATGGGAGGCAATCTCAGAGGGAAGGACTCAAGTGGGGGAGGGTGGAATAACTAGGATAGTTCTCTTAACATAGAATGGAACCTGAGCCTAGTCCTGAAGCCAGGTAAAACTAAGAGGTGAGGTGAGGTGACGTGAGGTGACGTGAGGTGAGGTGAGGGTTGTACAACATCCTAGGCCTGAGCGACAGCAAGGACCATGGTATGAAGTGTCTCATTCAAGAACCAGCAAGGAGGCTGGTGTTGCTGGATCCTGGAGTATATGGAGAAGAGTAAAGTGTAAAAAGACTAGGAAGGTAGGAAAAGGCCAGGTTTTGAAGGTCTTTAAAAAGCAAAAAGAGGATTTCATATTTGATCCTAGAAGTAACAGTGAGTAATGAGGTGAAATGGTCAGACCTACACCTTAGAAAGATCTTTCGTGGAGGATGGATTACAGTGCAGAGAGGCCAACCATAAGACAATACTGCATAGAACAGGCGTGAGGCAAAGATGGCCTGCACAGGGATGTCAGCTGTGAGTGGACAGAAGCAGACATGGCACAGAAGCAGATATGTTTTAAAAACAGAAACAGCAAGGCTTGGTAATAGATTCAATATATTGGTTAAGTGCAAATCAGAAGTTGAAGATGATGCTGAGGTTGTCAGCCTAGGTAACTAGGGAAATGGTTGCTACCTAGATCAGGGGTCAACAAACTATGGCCCATGGGTCAAATCTGGTCTGCTGCCTGGTTCTGGACGGCCCGTAGGGAAGTTCTGAAGAAGGGAAGATTTGGGGGGAGAGATAATTCTTTCTGTTTTGGACATTCTGATTATGAGATGTCTCTAGGTCAGGATATACATATGAGAGTTCCAATAGGCAGCTGGTGAAGGAAAGCTGAAGATCAGGAGAGAGGTCAGGGACAGACGAATAGATCTGACAATCATCTGCACAGAAATGACAATTGAATCCAAGGGAGCCCACATTATCAAACAAGGTAGATTAGAGGAAGAAGAGAAGAGATTCTAGTTCAGATCCTTGGGGAACATCTATGGTTACTGGGCATAACCTAGATGAAGATTCAACAAAAGAGTCTAAGAAATGGCCAGACAGGTAGGAGGAGAACCACGAGAAAGCACTGTCAGGAAAATCTAAAAAGAAGACTGACAAGGAAAAGGTGATAGTATCAAAGGCTGCAGAGAAGTTAAACAAAGGATGGGGATTGAGAAAAGGCTATTAGAAGTTTAGGTAGAATGATGAGGCTGGAAGCCAGACTACATAAGAGAGTGAGAAGAAAGGAAGCAGAGGCACCAATTGTAGTTAGTCTTTTCAAGGACTGTAGCCATAAAAAGGAGAAGAGACATAAGGAGATAGCTAGTGAGGATGGAAGGCTATGGAGTGTTAAGGATGAGGGAGACATGGGTGTATTTGCAGGCAACAGATACGGAAGATTAGTGAAAGACAGGGTGCTAGAGTGGACCATCTGTCAGAAAAGAGAGGATAGAATTAAATCAAGGACGCATGTAGAGAGGTTTTCCTTGGCAAGGAGAAGGGCCTCTTCATGTGCAAATGGTGAAAGAGGAAAGTGGGATACCTCTGAGTGAGACGAGATGCAAGAAAGAAGAGGCAGCTCTTGGTAAATGGCTTCATTTTTTTGTGAATTATGAGGTAAGGTTTTCAGCTAAAAGGGATGAGAAAGGCAGGTACCACGGAGGGCTAAAGAAGAGAGGAAATGGTCTGGAATGGCCTCAGTGATGAGTGGGCTAGTGGACTGATTAGAAAGGTATAAGTGGCATAAGCCTTGCTGCAGTGAGGGCCCAGTTGAGATGAAGTAACAAATTCACAGTGGACTCAGTTGAGTTTCTCCAGCCCCATTCAGTAGCACGTGCAGAGGAGCAGAGACAACGGAGTGTAGGCATTATCCAAGGCTGGGGCCTGGCAAGGCCTAGCTGGTGAAAGAAGTAGAAGATAGTGTAGAGCTGAGCTGAGAAGAGACTGGAGCCAATGCAGGGGTGATGGCCTGGGAGGGAACAGAAGGCTGGGGGACTAGAAGTCAGGTAAGAATGAAGAAGAGGTTGCGGGGATGCCAGGCAGAGGGAGAAGTGGAACAAAAAAGGATCAGATAAAGGAATTCTAGGTCTGTAAAACAGCCAAAATTAGCTCTACTTGTAGCATTCCATTGACTGGGGAATGTCTCCATAAACAGACATCTACTCACATGTCAGACTGTGATTAAAACATTAAAAATGGGAACAATGAAGATGACGAGGAAATATGGAAGACGTAGATGAAACAACATGAAACAAAACCAGTGGAATAAGAAAAACACATACATCTTTTGTTGGTGTTGGTTTTCTATATTTTAGCCAAAGATATGAACTTCAGAGAGAAAGAAAAAAACCAAAGGTTCGTGTACACAGGGAGAACACCAAGTCACGCCCTGACTGTGGCTTGGGCTGACTCAGCTGCCCGTGAATCCAGTCTTTTCAAGGTATTGATTTGCTTTATTGATTGGACCTTCTTTTTCTTCTTTTTGTCTTTAAGAATACTGTTTGTTATATGGGATAGCTCTCTCAGAGGTGGAAGGGTACTAGGGAAAACTATGATGCTATTTAAAAAAAAAAGCGATGAAGGTGGAATCAGGAAAACCTGGATCTGCATCCTATTTCTGACATTTCCTAAGCAGTGTGAACCTCCTCAAGGTAACTTCTTGATCTCAAATGCCTCATCTGGGCAGCTGGGGCACCATGGACAAAGCACTGGGCCTGGAGTCAGGAAAACCTGAGTTCAAATTCAGCCTCACTCACTGTGTCACCCTGGGCAAACTGAGTCACTGCTGCCTGCCTCAGTTTCCTCATCTGTAAAATGGGGATAATAGTACCTGCCTTGAAGAGCTATTGTAAGGATCAAATGAGATAACATTTGTCTAGCTTTTTACCACAGTGCCTAAATAAATGTTGGTTTAATAATTATTATTTGTAAAGTGCTTTACAAACCTTAAAGCGCTATACAAATGCTGCTTATCTTCAAGATGAGCATAGTTCCTGTAGCCTCCCAGAACTGTTCTAAGACCCAGATAAATGAATGTATTTTTCAATCTGAAAACATCATGTAGTCAGTGACTACAGTTATCATTCCAAAGACCAGGGGCAAGGGAGGGTCCCAAGAAGCCCTGGCCTCCCTCTCCTAAGAGACAACAGCACTGATGGCAGAAATGCCCTTCTCTTCCTAAGCTCTCTTCCCAGGCAGTCTCATTCATCCTCATGCTCGGGGCAGTTTCCAGTTACCCCCTGGGGACTCTGAGCTCCATGGGGAGCGGGGAGAGGGGTTTCAACCTTCTTGGTTCAGCCAAGCTAAGGTGGAAAAAAAAAATGCCATTTACCTGATTCAGCACTGATCTCCATCACATCTCCCCACACTGGGAGATGACCACAGGAAGCTTAGGCTTGTTGTTGGGTCCGGTGGGAACATTCTAGGGAAAGCAAGCAGAGTCCAAGTGAGCCAACACCCGCTGCACTGGGCTTCTGGTCCCAAGGATGCAGAGTATGCCCTCCTGTTCACTGAAAGTATCTCAGAGGGAAATGGAGGAATTAAGAAAAATAATGTAGGCTGGAGGCCACGACCAGGAAGATATCAACTTCCCTTTTTACAGATGAGGAAACTGAGGCACTCTGCTGATATCAGCTTTAAAACACAAGGTGACCCTCAAGGCAAGAAACCAAAATTCACTCACCTCAATTTTTCTCATCACTAGAAGTCCATCAATTATTTTTCCTGCGGAAAGAATCAGAGCTAAATGATATTGTTTCTTGTGCGCTCTCTCCGCGTCTCTCCCCCCATTCTGCAGCTGACTTCGAAGAAGCCCAGTGGCTCCATATCCAGAACACAGCAAATTCTGCATTTCAGGCCCCTTCAGGACCTGGAGGTGAAGACAGCCCATCAATAGAGCAGGTGACAAATGACAGCTCCAGGAACAGCCCCTTCCCTCAAAGCCCAAGCCAGCAGGCAGCTGGGTGCAGAACCTGAACTCACCAAACACTACGTGCTTCCCATCCAGCCAGTCACACTTGGAGCAGGTGATGAAGAACTGGCAGCCATTGGTACTGGGGCCGCTGTTTGCCTGATTTAAATTAAGGAATGTTGCAGTGACAAATAAAAGAACAGGGATGCCTCTGTCCTTCAAAGAGGGCTAGGTACCTGTGGACCTAAGGCCAAAGAAAGGGACTCTCTATTGGGTTACTTAGGCCCTGATGTCTCAACTAGACTATAAGCTCTTTGAGGGCAGAGGCCACACATTCTGCTTTGTCTTTATGCTTCATGTTGTATTTTACTTTGCTAATATATCGAGGCCGTTGGATATATGCTCCTTCCACTCCCTTATCCCACTCCTCAGAACTTCCCAGCCTCATCACTCATTTTCTTGCCTCTAAGGAAGAGCTCCTCCTACTCATGGCTCTGGATAATACCTAGGTCCTCAGTCTTGCTTCCTGTCTCCACCAGGAACTTCCTCTAGCAAGCCTTCCCTCTCCATTATTCCTTCCCATCAGCTTATTAACACTGACAGATCTCCTGAATCCAAAGGTTTCTCTTGATCCTTCCTTTACGTCCAGCTACTAACTGTTCCATCTCCTTCTTCCTCTTTACCACTAAACTTCTTGGTAGAATTGCTTATACTAAGAAACTTCATTTCCTCCCCACCCACTCTCTCCTCAACTCTTTGCTGACTGGCTTCCTGTGTCACAGATCTGTTGAAATACTCTCTCAAAGGTCACCAGGAATGCCTTTGTCACCAAATCCAATGACCATTTAAGGGCCTTGTCTGACATCGTGGCTCCTGACCCTGCCCCACTAACTAATTCTACATAACTCCTCCTCCCTTGGTTTTCAAGATACTACAGGCCTCCTTGGTTCTAGTCTTTTTCTTTTAACTACTCCTTCTGTTTTTCTGGGTTCTCTTCCTTCCTGGCATCTTCAGGTCAGTGTTTCCTGAGATACCTATAATTTCTGTCTCCACAACAACTTTGAAATCTGTCCCCTTCTCTCCACTCAACAGGCAGCACCACAGTTTAGGCTCCCCAGGCACCTCATGCCTAAACTCACTACTGCTGGTTGGGCTCCCTACTTCAGTCCATTCTCTACTTAGCTGCCAAATCAATATTCTAAAGCTCAAATCTGACCAGGTGCATCTGCCTACTTAGTAAACCTCAATGGCGCCTTCTAGGAACAACTATCAACTTCTGTTTGGCTCTTAAGATCTTTCCAACCTGGCCTCCTCCCCCCTTTCCAGCCTTCGCACACATCCCCTCCTTCCCACTCCCCCGGACACACTCCAGGGCCTCCTAGCTATTTATCCCACAGGATGCACTCTCTCTCATCTATGTCTTTGCACTGGCTACCCAAGTGAATACAATGCTCCCCCTCCTAACCTCTTAGAACCCCTGATTTTCTTCAAAATGCAGCCAAGAGCCAACTTCTACAGATGGCTTTTCCCAAGCTCTCCTCTGCTCCCCCAGCTGCTAATGACTTCCCCTCTAAGGCTACCTTCCATCTCCTCTGGGTCTTATATTTACTGCTACATCTATTCTTGGCCATTAGAACATAAGCTCTTTGAAGGCAGGGGCTACTTTTTGCTCCTTTTCTATCACCGATGCTTAGTACATCCCCTGGCCCACACACAGTAAGCACTTACATAAATGTTTTTTGATTACAGCCTTGGCTCTCTTTCCATCTCTCTCTACACTCTCTCCCATGATAAACCTCACTCACTCTTCAGACTTCAGTAGATGACTGCCAATCCGGATCATCAGCCCCAACTTTCTCCTGAGCTCTATTTACATACTCCGCTGCCTAAAGGGTTATTTCTAAAGGGATGTTCCCATTGGCACGTCAGCCTCAACTTCTCCAAAATGGAGTTTGTCATCTCTCCCTCTAAACCTACTTGTCCTTCTGATTGTACTATCTCTCTTTGTAGCACTGGCACTCGGGCTATCATGTCTCCAATCCTGGGATTATCCTCAATCCCTTCCTCCTCCTCACCCCACATGGTCAAACAATAACCAGATCCTATTGATCCTATTTCCCCATTCTCTTCTCTTCTCTGCCTCTTCCTTTCTATTCCCACAGACACTACCCTCATACAGGCCTTCACCACTACCATCTTTCATACGGTAAATGCTTCCCACTGGGACTCTCTCCTTGCCTCCTCTCTATCCTTTATTCTGCCATCAGACTTTTGGTCTGATTTTGGTCACTTCCCTGCTCCACCCAAAACCACCCACTAGTCTCCTGTGACCTCTGGTCACAGCCTAACCCGGCTTCGATGCCACTCACCTGAGCTCATAGCGCACCCCTTCACATAATCGACACACCAGCCCACCTGAACCACTCGCTGTCCACTGTATGGGTCTCACACTTTCCCACTGTTCTAACCACTTGGCCTAAAATGTCCTTCTCCCCATTCCAGTGATTAGGTTCCCCACTGATTTTTTAAGCTACCCCTTCTAAGGTCAAATGCTACCTCTTCTAAGATACCTTCTCTTATTCCCACTCCCTTAGCCTCAGAGGCAACTAGTTGGTGCGGTGGATGGAGTGCTGGACTTGGTGTCAGGAAGACATGAATTCAAATACTGCCCCAGACATTTAACTGTGTGACTCTGGGAAAGTCATTTAACCTGCTGGATTGAACTGCTATTCTCCATAGCTCCAGACACAGGGCTGGGCACACAGGAGGTACAAACTAGGTAGCCCCCATTTAGCTGATACTCAACAACAGGGTCTAGAGCCATCTTTGACCTGTACCTGTTGGCATCACTAGCATCTGACCTCTAGAGAGGCATTACCAGGGCAACTACCACCTAATTCCACAAAGGGAAGGCTGGCAGGTTGCTTGCTGTGCTTGGCTACTGTGGCACTCTTATAAATATGACACTGGGGACAGCATGAGCAGCGGTGAGCCCCAGGACATCCTTTCCTATTGGGAGACTCCAAGGGAGAGAACCAATGACATATTCTGACTCAAAGAAAGCACACCTGGGAAAGCAAAGGAGAAAACCAAGCTTGGCCACAACTTTTTCAAGGCCACCTTACTCAGACGAGTTTGAGCTCAGGTCCAAATGACACAGAACTGCCTATGTGGTGGACTAGCTTGTCCCCAAGGATGAGAGGATGCTGAGTGGCACAGCTGGGCCTAGAGTCAGGAAGACTGGAGTTTGAATCTGGGCTCAGACACTTACTAGCATTTAACAATGCCCCAATACCTCTACTGGATATACATACCATGGAAAGCAGACCTGGAGCTGAGTGCCTCAATTTAAAGTTTTCATCTGCAAATGGTCCCCGGTAAATGCTTGCAACTCCAGTGCCATCTCCCTAAGCAGACAGAGAAAAGAAAGAAAAGACCTCAAGGGAAGGCCATTAAATTTCTTCTAAAGAGAAACATTTCTCTGCTCTCAGAAAGAAGTGGGGAATGTAGGGAATGCTGCATACACAGTCAAGCTGCATAAAGTGACCAGAACTGGTCTTCTCTGTTACAAGGCAGGGCTCAATGGGGGGGGGGGCTCAGAGAATGAGAAAAACCAGAGGTATCAGTAAGACTTTTTAAAGTCCATTGGTTGCTTTCACCTTAGAGGTTCTCCAATGACCAATCAGTTTCTACCCAACGAAGTCCATCCTAGCAGAGAGCCAAAAGCCAGGGCACCAACCACAACAGAATCACAGATATAAGAGTATGTGGGTCGAAGTCAGGCTTCTAATCTGATGGATTCAAGGGTGTGTGAAGCAGGGAAGATAGAGCCTCTGGGTTAGAAGCTTGTGCCCTAGAGGCAGTGAGAACCCCAGGGATTAAAGACTTGACTAGGGACATAAACAGAACAGGCTTCCCCAACACTGAGGAGGAAAGGAGACCGCGTTGTACACACACATTAGGAAGGGTCACCACAGACCTCAGGCCACAATGAAGTGTGCCCCTCTGACGGAGACAAGAATTACCCATCTTTTAAAGCTCACCTCACGTGCACCCACTACACAGGCCAGTACTTGGTGTGTCACTCTTCTAGTGCAAGTTAAGCCATCGTGAGCATGACAATGATCTGTTGGGTTGTGTGTGTTTTATCTACCAGCAGACTGAGCTCTACCAGGGCAGTGACCATCTTTTATCTTAGTTTATCACATAACTTAATTTTGTTGAAGGAATGAACAATGAATGACTAAATGAATATGACAGAATCTGGATTAAAGCCAGAGCAATGCAAAAGTTATTTGGATTTACAACTCCATGTGCATTTGGTTAAAAGCCAGCAAATAAAACCATCACCAATTTGGCTCCCTCACTTGGGATGAGGAGGAGAGAAAAATCAGTTCCTCACCATAATTTCCTAAGTAGTTCTTCCCATGTCCTTCCATCCCTGTGGTTACATATTCTGTTCCTCTCCAGAAGTGAGGGCAAAGAAGGTAACCAAACAGACCATTTGCATCCCAGACTTTGGAAAGTGTCCACTCAACCTTGCCTCCCTTCTAGGCCTTCCCCACACCATTCTATCCTGCTCTACAGTAGGGCTGAGAGTAGGGAGAGAGGGATGTCTGCCAGGGGGCAATGCAGAGCCAAGAATTTGGTTTATTGCTATGGGGTCTGTGGATTACTATAGAGAAAGAAAGATGATTGAGAGAACTACCATGCATCATAACACTACACAAATGGATTTGTGACCAAAGCCAAACAAGAGAAATAGATTCAGTCTGTCCTCAGAGATGCTCACTCATTTGGTAAGGAAGTGAGCAGCACAGAAAGTGCCCTCCGCTACCGCCCCTTCCCCCAATCACTCTTCTCACAACTGCCTCTCTGGTACATCAGACAGTGAGTCACAGAGGGGGTAAAGCAGAACTCTGGCAAAGCTGGAACAAGACAAACTTACACAATACTTACATT